CATAGACCGCTCGTGCCTAGGTTACATTTTGTTCTAATTTTTTGTAAAACATGGGTTTGTATTCTACAGATTGTGATTTAATGCTGCGAGATAAATATGTGATTTTTTGTATGGTAACAGACAAAGGTTCACACTACCTCGGTACAGACGCGGTTTTCAATAATTTGATCATTAAAAGTTGTTATAGGAGCTTAAAGTTGATGCATTTTATGGGACGTATATTTCCAATAGAAATGAAAAATTAAAAAAAAGGCCTCTGACAGGCGCTAGAACAAAGCTTTGTTTATCTCCCTACAAAATTTCAAATCTCTATTTCAAATATTAAACTCATGTTATGCAGAATAGATAAGCATGTTTTTACTCTACGGCGCGAGTACTACTGAATCCCCTTAAGATACAATATTATTATTTAAGAAAATGCAAATTAACAGCAAGCACTTATAATGACGGAGGAGTGAACATTGGTCGTATGAATAACATGCCTACTGGAAATCAATATATAAAATGAAAAAGGTAAAAGATCTTTGTTTCTGGTAATCTGGGTAAAATAAATACCCACATTACACATTAAATGAGACTCCACATCTGATATATATACATTTCAAACGAGAAAGTAAATATCTTTTTAATTAAAGGATAGCTATGATTCCAATTTAAAAAAAAATACAACTTTAGTTAATATTTTAAAAATGCATTTTTTTAATTGTTATATTCTATGTAAATGTGCCTATATTCTCATTTTACAAATCAAAATGTGGACATGTCACCAAACCTCTAAATTTCCAACTTTTGCTTTTTAGCTCGAAAATAAAAGACGAGAGCAAGTTTTTGAGCATACCAATAAATTTGTCTCAAGAAAATAGGTTTGGAAGGTACCACTTATTTTTCTAAAACTCTTGCAATTACCGAGTTATCCTACACAAATATTAAAATTTGACCACCCAGTACATACACTTTTTTTCACTATATCATGGCTTTTTAAAGTAAAGATTACACGAACTCAGTTTATGAAACATAATTTGTACTCATGTCTATCATCATCAAAAGTAACATAGAACACTCCTATGCATGCCTGTAAAATTCAATTGAAATCGGATTAAATGCGTTTTAAAGGATAGCCCGCACAGACAAAAAATGTTTTAAAGGTTCTTTGTATCTTTTCGTTAAAAGCATTTGAATAATACGATACGAACTTAAGAAAGGCAGTTGTTTCGATATTACAAGCACATACTTTAATTTTGTTTTTTACCCTTCAAGCTGCTTTGCTCTTAATTTTTCATGATATTCAAGATGTTTTCTTGCAAAATTTTTTGCCTACTTCATCCCTGCTCACTACCCATTTTGGAGCACTGACTTGTTCGTTCGTAAAAAAAATATGAACAATTATTAAAGTTTTTAGTTTGGTCATTACTTTTATTATACATAAAACCTACATTTATCTATTCTTAATTAAGTATTTAAAGGCTTTTTGTATGAAGTTGCATTTAACTATGCTAATAAAATTATTGCAAAAGACAAAAATTGAAAAAACTACTTACCTTTTGGCGCCTTACAACGCAGAAAAATATGGCAATTAGTTTATTGAGAGCATTATACTTTCATTTAAGATTCCAATCGACAATGGAACTGTAAATGCTTTGAAACTGAAATCTATTTGTATGAACACTTGTTCCGAATAAAAATCATACATGGTCTACTACTTAAAAAAATTTTCAAACTTCAATGTCATGCAAAGAAAACGTGAAAATTATTAGTCTAGTTTTTATTTAAAATTTTTACGTTTGGTTAATATTTTCTTTTCAGTACAATATTTTGGAAGATAAACGAAGGCTGACAGTAGCAATTACAAGAGCAAAACATAAATTTATTTTGTTGGGTCATATGGAATGTATACGTAACTATTCTCCATTTAAACAGTTGCTGGGTAAAATATCAGAGAGTAATGTTTTAAAATTGCAAAATGGTAAGTTAGGGTTTTCTTGGGAAAATGTTATGAATATTTGAAACAACTAAATAAATTATTTGTATGCTGCCTTTAAATAATCAGTTTTAAGTGCCAATGAATGAAATTTTTATTTTTAGTCTTCTGTATTTCTTTGTAATAAAAGGTATGTATCCAAGTGTTTTGTATTACTTCTTCTTTTTGCTATTTTCCTTTGCTTTCTTCCCCTAAAAAAAAGGAAGTTTTATAGAAAGTTTCTTAAATGTTTGGGAAGTACATATTTTATAATTTCTATTAGTGCAGCTGTAGTTCTTCCGTTTGTTGCAAACTGAAATAAATGACTATTTAGTAATTGACATGCTTCAATTCTTTACAGACCAATTTCGGTAATCCTCTTTCGTAAAGTATCCAAAAGAATGTTTTGTAAATTGCCTACTTTCTGTTTGTCTATATTAGTTAAATTATTTAGTTTTCTATTTCACAAAATATGTTGTAGGGTAAACATTTAAAAATGAACAAAAACAGCTACCATTAACAAAGAAAATCCTATATAAATAATTACGTTTGGGAATCTTATCAGTGACACTAATATGTGGAGCTTTTTATTTAACATATGCATAAAATATAACAATTGTTTCCACCCAATAATAAGTTATACTATATAATTTTCAACACTTTATTTTTAACATGTTTTTGTTATTAGTAAGATGTTTAAAAGTTTTCTGTATTAAGGAATATTTTTAAATTATAAAAAACAGCAAAGGGTAAATTTATTAATGAAAAATAAACAGTGGTATAACACAACTCAATTTAAAAACTAAAACTGCATCAGTAGTACTTACTGAAATTAATAAAATATGAACATAAGATATCAAACTCACATTAAGAGATATATATGTAGAAAAAAAAAACAAAATCGCTAATCCCCCATATCTGGTTGACAAACATAAACGTCGACATATTTTAAGCCATTTCGCATAAGATTTATGATTTTATCAAAAAGTAAATCATCTTGGGGGTCACTGAACTCTTGAATTGCTACATAGTCAAAACGATCTTTTGCATTTCGTGAATTTAACTCATATATACATTTTTGAAAGCTCATGAAGTCTATATTATCATTAGGTTTTGTTTTCACAACAAATCCATAAACTATGTAATTCCCTTTTTCATGGCGAATGACTGAACCAAGTGTTTTTCTCGAGTTGCTATATGATGACAAAATCTTAAATTTTTTGTCTAGGGTTTTAATTTGTTCAGTTTTCTCTCCTTCTTCTGAACATAAATATACTATTATCGTGTATTCATCAATTTTGATTAAACTGTAGTCTACATGAACGACTTTGCAATTCCTGACTTGTTGTTTTGTACTCAAATCTTCTATGTCACTCTAAAACAAACGTTTGCAATAAGTATAAGTAAATTAAATTACTTATTAAATGAACTACCTTGTTTATAAAAACTAAATAGGGAGAAACTTTTTATTAAAGATTCAGTTTCCATTTGAACTTTAATTTATTATGTATATGTCGCAGGCAGATGGTCAAATATTAATTATTTATCTAAGCAATACTATTTTATTAAGCAAATGTTATTTGCCTCACAGTTTTCTAGGCAAATTTTGGCGGAGATGTACAATTATACTCGAGAAGGTAAAGTTAATATATTCCAATAATTTGAAATATATAAAATGACCACTCGGTTTTGATAAAATTTACTAGTTTACAATGGTTTCACTGTACCATAATAGCTTGTGTGTAAACTGCATTTTTTTTTTAAACTATTGCTAGTGTTATTGTTTATATGTATATCAAAATAAAACTCGGGAACTATAATTCTGATCTTGAATTTTTCGTCAGAATCATACTTCTTGACTTATAAGCGGTAATATACTGCGGGCAAAGTCGCGATAGGTAACCGCTAGTACAGTGTAGTACATGTGATGCAACGTATTAATATATCAGTCTCACAGAGTATTACATTTAACCAGTCGAAAAATGGCAACTTTCTCTTCTCGAGACTTTCGAAATGTAAAAGGTCTTGTATAAAAAAACAAAATTTGGTATATACCTAACTAGAATGAAATATCAACTTACTATTGCCCCCCTCCTCATGTGGAAGTTATTTTGAGTGATGCACATATACATACTATGCCCTATATTTAGATTTTAGTACTCTTCTGTATTTAGATACTCTGGTACAGTGATCCTTAAAATATTTAATGGGTGGAACCTTTCTTAATCCCTGACTCTTTAAATGAATGATTTGCAATAAAAATTTCGGATAATATTTATTAAATTCACATAATAATCTTAAAATTCTTCCAAAATAAGATGTTTAAGGTAACTTTGCGCGCTTAAACGCTTGATGCGATTATGGCTTGATGCTGCAGAAAAAATCTCACTGCATTGACTATTAGAAAAGATGATTGATTGGGATTCCACTTATTAATAGTTAGTGTAATACAAAAACGCACGTGTTATATAAAAAAACGCACAGAACCTCGGGGTTCCGCGGAGCAATTTAAAAAACATTGCTCCTTTCTTTTCCTTTGAATCAACATTAGACAAAAGGAATAAATACAAAATACAATTGTTAAAAAATAGGATAACAAGATATAGTGTCACTAAGCGGGATTCCCAAACTTCATTAATAAGAAATAGCTTGACCCCTAGAAATTTTAAGCCCACAGATACGCAATGAACACAAATGATATTGAAGAGGGGACAGTCACTTTGACCATCATGGTTTCGTGAAAATATGACGTTAACGTTTTTTCTAAATATTTCTAACAAAGGTAACCTACCACGTAATTTCAGAATTCAGATATTGATACGTTATATATATATTAGGAAATAGTGATTATGTAGGTATTCTCTTAGTATCAAATAATGTTTCAAATTTTGGCATATCATTCAGCAAACAGCAAACCGTTTCATTTCTAACCTTTTCTATCCACGGTATCCTCATCATTCGCCTGTAACACCACATTTCGAACACTTCTAACCTTTCCTTTCCGCCGCGCCTACCTTTAACAATCATTTTCGAATTTCTTTTTATTGAAGGCGACTCGACCCTACGCTATCCTCTGCTTTATATCCCTACTACTCCTTCCGTCCTGACTTATCTACTCCCTAGATACCTAAAATCGGCCACTTCTAATTTTTCGTCTCCTATCTTGATATTCGCTCTTTCCCTACCCAACTTCCAATCAAACATAAATTTTTATTTAATTTTGCTAGACTCTTGTTTTGAAATTAAACTCCATTCATAGGTAGTTTGACATAATTCGGCATCGAAGTAGGGACATCCTCCAAACGCCAGTGCACCACAATCAAATTGCACACTTCTGCGAAATAGTAATGTATAGAGTAAGCAAGGTTCCCTTTTTAGTCCTTTTATGATTCAACTAATCGATATAAGTAGAAATCATAAAACAATTGATGCCGATAAATCATTGTATAACCTTTTCTATAATTTGTATCAATTGCAAACGATTCGCGATAGTGGTTCCTTAGAATACATTTTTTTAAAATTAACAAAGCTGTAAACATGATCACGTTTAGCGTTACTTAATATGCAATTTTTGAGACCAAAATCAACCAATTTTATTGTAGGGCTATAGACTAGCAGAATATCTAAAGACTACTACTTTGATGTAGAAAAATAAAAGAGGTAACACTGCTATCAAAATGTGTTTTTGTTCTTACACCTTGGACTAAGAGAGTATTTTTTGAGGAGAAACATTAAACATGGAAAATATATTATACCAGGTGTACTTCGTTGCATAAGTTTTGTACCACACGATAAAGAATGAAGCTCCAATATGAAAAGTTTTTGTTAGTCATTTTTTGATACAAATTTTTAGGATAAGTGATTGGTTCAATAAATACTTTTTTTAATCGAGATTGTATAAGAACTATACATTACATCTAAAGATGATAACAACTTTCCAACATGAATTTCCATTTTTTAAATTAACTAATGTATTATTTACCTGTTTTGGCAAGTTATATACTGTAACATTAATGCCCGTTTCAAAAAATAAATATTCAATCATATGTTTAACTTCACACCATTCCAGACGATCTAGACCACATCCAATCCTTGGAATGGATAATGCCATTGCATTATTTTCAACCATATGGTTTCTTAATTTATTCAATGATGACCACAACGTGGAAAGTGTAGGTTTTCCTTTAGAATGTTTTTTCGTCACTAGGTAGTATATAAATCGATTTTTATCTTCCAAAATTGCTAAACCACCAGATCTTTGTCGTTGATTTAGTAGGTAGGGTACACTTTTAAAATTTTTTCTACAATAAAAAACAATTGTTCTACACACCCTATCTAAATCATTACGGTACAGTTAATAATGATTTCTGTACAAAACGTGAGTGGTACATTAGCCGTTTTAATGACACTTTACTTATTAAGAGATTTGAAAATTTGGCAGTAGGAGTTAACGAGGATGATCTTTTTAATTTCAACTGTCGGTCACTTCAGATTATACAGAAAGTTGATTCCAGTATTGTTATTTTTAATGGTGTTGCATCTACAAAAAATGACTTCCACTATTGAAATTTTTACCAATTATAGTTTGTGTCTTAAGACTAAGGATATGCCACAACTAAGCTTCATAGTTTTTAAAGAGTATCCAAAGAAAACCAAAAACTTCGAACACGAATAAATTTGTTTCTTCAAATGGCACGTATTATATTTTATTTTGTCATTCGATTCCTTTTTTACCTTCTTTAGATCCATTTAGATTTTTATCTAAAATATATATTTTCACTAATTTTGTCATAACAAAATCAAACTTCATCTTTCGTGTACTTATGTTACAAAAATGATCGAAGACGAAACTTATAATGAATACTCAGTTTTAATTAGGGGTTTATAAAGAAAGCGAAAAAGTTATAGAAAAACATGCAGAAGATTTAATAAACTGTATCCATATCCTCCTATTAATAAGTGAAAATTTAACAGAGTTAAAAATAATTTAAGGGAATTTGGTTCTTCTCAAGCTCCGAATACCACTTCTAAAAAGTGTTACTGAAGATGAAAAGAAGGAATTAATGTTCTTATAGACCCACACACTTGTATCAATAACGTGCTGGATTAAGGCCTAAGCTACGCATCAATTGAAAGGATATTATGGAAACACAAACGATTTAAATGAAATTCCAAGATGTGTTTTGTGTTTTAAAAAATAATCCATTTGGTATTTTATTTATGACGGCAGTATGACTTTACCTCATTATTTGTAATTTTTAAATATTGTTGTCGATGACTTTTTTGGGCGATTTATCATTACAAGAAATTTAGTCCAGTTGGTATCGACATAATGGTGCTTTGTCTCATAGCACAGTGGAAGTTAGTATGAGAACGTACCCATACTGTGACCCATAAGAGGGAGTATTCAAAAATTCCATGCTTGGTCACAGGGGCGGAGGAGGGTTAGGTTTTTATCAATTAGTCAATATACTCTACGGAAATCTCGCGCTTTTTCAAGTTATACTAAAGCATTCTGTTTGCAAAAAATTAGTTTAAAACCATATTTGTGAATTACTACGTGAAAATTAATATGGGAGGGGGACTTGGCACATATAATCTTAAGTGAAACGGTTTTATTGAAAATAAAGATAATAATTATGCAGATAATGTACTAAGAACTAAAAAATAATTCAGTAGGCCCTAGGTACCAGTGATCACACCATTATCCCCATCAATCTAGGGCATTGATCAGACAAAAAAAAATTAAATCGTTGAGCGCGTGAAATTGAAACAGTCAACCGTTCATATCATTTTAAATGCTATTTACATTTTTACTCAGATTACGCTACGCCCCACGACTTTTTTTTGTCTGATCGATCCCCTAGATTAATGGGGAGAGTGATAAGATGACTAGTGCCTAGGATATACTAAAATATTTTTTAGCTTTTAATGTATTATCTACGTCATTATTATTTTTATTTTCAATAAAATCGTTTAACTTAAAAATTTTTTTTTAGTTATTTTAATTTCAAGTTTTTATTGCATTAGCGTTACTTAATATTTCTCATTCTATTTAGTTCATACAAGGTTTCTTTCCTGACAATTTGTTGCAATCTAACTCCTCAATACATAAATCCTTCTGAAGACTACTAAAAAGTAGCAGCTTCTGATCCCGAGTTTATGAAACAAATATGAAATCTGGCATTCTTGCCGGCGGCCATGTTAGATTTGAAATTGGTCATAGTGTACAGTATTCTACTAAAGTCGACCCCTTTCATTTGATACCCATATTTAAGGGGTTGTGAAAAATATGTAATCCGCCATTTCATAGCGGCAACCATCTTGGATTTACAATTATACTGACTATATTAAATTTCTAATAATTGCAGTACCTTACTTGTCCACGGCATAGTTTTGTTATATCAAAATTAGTGAAATTACCTAATTAAATGACAAAATAAAATATGATAAGAACCACTTGAAGAAACGAAGTTATTCATGTTGGAAGTTTTGAAACTGATTTTTTTTTAAACGCCCTATACAAATTATGAAGCTCAATTTTAGTATGGGCTTAGCCTTAGGACATGATAATTTAATATATTTGCAGAGTTAAAAATGATATACTAANTTATTTTATTATTAATACTTATTTTAAAATTTTATGCTTCATGTGTTTATAATGGCAATAAACTTAAAATTGAAATACAAATTCGCCATAAAAAATATACTAATACATTTAAAATAACATTCCACTAAACTGAAAGTGGCTAGCAGCTGAAATTGTTTTTGGTTAAAAATCACCCTTGATACACCTACTGCTAAATTTTCAATTTTCTAACACATGTAAATACACCACTGAGTTTGAAGAGCCCCTTATAAAGTGAAACTGATATAATTATTACAACTTAGAATCATCATAAGATCTTAGCAATTAACTACAATTTAAAATCTTTTTAAACAGGCAATCAATTTCAGTAATCATCTGCCTGGGACTGCTATCAGCTATTAAGAAATTGCAACCCTTGCTTTGATAGCGTATCCAATTTAGATCAAGTCATAATTCGTTAAATACAAATAACAAAATATGCTATAAAAACATCAAATGCTGACATGTTACCTGAATGAAACAGCAATACCACTGCCCATTGACATATCTTCTGCTACACAATGAGCCAAGCATGAGTCTTCTGATGAATCAAAAAGATCTCCCTCGACTTCAGTAACACAACTGAATTTATCTTTATTATTTTGTAGCCATAAGTGAAACTTTTTATCATCCACAAATTTTTCGAGCATTTGAATATTGGAATAGTGTAATGTTTTACTTAGAACTTTATGTGATGATTCAATTTCACTCCAGTGGCGATCACTATAGTTCAAGTTTCTATTAATTTGAGTATCTTTATACTTATCATACTTAGCTTTGGTATAATCTGCATTACTTTTGGATAAAAAGTCATCCTCATCATTAAAATTTGAATTTCCTGTTTTAGACTGTTCATTTCTACAATTACCATTTGAACCAAAGCTATGTTTATTGTTGTTGCTTCTCTTGTACTTGCTACCTCCATAATTTTTCTCTCTACTTTCTTTATTATGAGAATTACTAGGATTTGATGATGAATAATCATGAACAGTATCTTCTTGTCTCCAATTTTTACTCTCATCAGTTCTATGAAATGATGCAGAATATTGAGAAGTTCTCCATTCATTCTCTTTGTGACCATTATCTAAGGATGCTTTTCTTCTGTTTTTGTCTTTGTCGTTGGTAGATGCATTTTTACTTTTTGAAATTGAAACAAACATCTTATTATTGTCTTGTGCAGCATTTGCATCATGTTCCTGTGATAAAATTCCAACTGTGGTGTTAGCAGTACTGTCATTATGTGACTCATATTTATCAATTGATTTATTTGTTTCTTTATTATCAATTTCTAGCAAATTTATGCTTTGCTCAATTTCACTACCATATTCATTAGCAACAGCTTGATCGATTTCATTTTTATTTCTACTTCTTTTACTAGTCTTACTCTGTGTACCATGTTCAACCGTATCCTTTTTGGTTTTAGTTTTGCCTAGCTTTTCTTTTGAAACATGTTGAAAACTTACTCCTGATGCGATAACATCAGCTGCTGATGAAGCGTTATTATTGCTATTCCTGTTTTTCTTATTCTTGTTCTTTCCCATTATGAATGGTTTCACTGAAAACAGTATCTATATTGACTCTTTTTCAAAAAAAATTAACTACCTCCATAAGAATTTTATCAAATTAGTTATCATTGGAAAACAGTTATACATACCTTAAAATCGCATAAACTTCTTGAGATTTTATTATTTAAGTTTAGAACTTATATACTCTGCTGAACAAAAAGCCACCTATAAAAAACTTAGTTGTTATGTATGACTTGAGGGGAATCCCACAAAAATACACTTCCTCGATTACGTTACACTACACCTACCTAATTTTCATTACTAAGGAAATTTTATCCAACCGTACAATACATACATTATTATTTTGTTCAAAAGCGTCTTACTAAAATACCACACTAAAATACTTTCATAATACGTTCACGACTTTTATTTTCATGTAACGACGGTATCACATATAAGACATATATAGTAGTCACCTATTATCTATGGTAGTCACCATAGATTATATTGGATTATATACTTTACGGTAGTTACCATAGACATATATTAATGGACGTGCCGTAGCCGTATGTCGTAACAATTTCTTGACTCGAAAAGTGAGGGAGATATCGTATGGTTTCGGACTAATGCTATCTCTTTCATGACACGCTTACGCACTATCGTAAGAGAGATGGATATTGTCCGAAACTTCATTCCATCTCTTTCTTTTGTTGTACCATAATTCTGACCGCTAAGACATGTCCATTAGTAAACGTCGATGGTAGTTACCATAGGTAGTCACCACTTCGCTTTTACAAATTGTTCACCCAATTTCGCTTTGTATGTCTATTATCTATGCCCAATTTTCATTTTGTTCCTTGACGGTATCGCTAGTATACATTTAGATGCGAAAAGTTAGCGCCCAAGATTTTTCTTTTAATTTTTTGATATTTTAAGTGTCTCTAGTCGTTTATTGTTCGTTATTTGTTTGTAATTGTTTGTCAAGAATAGTTTGTTCATTTTTTGTTTATTAAAAAAAATTAAACAAATTTTCACTCTCAGTTGTCTTTTTTCTAGAATTTTGATTGGTCTACATCGTAGTCTTGCAGAAGCGGAAGAATAAAAGAGAAAAGAGGGAAAGAGACAGGTATTGACCGCATGGTCGCGTTCTATTTTTCTAGAAAGTGAGGGGTATAGATAAATCCATTCTATAAGTCTATAGTTACATTCATATCTTTATGTACATATTTACCATAGATAAATGTCTGCAAACCATCGACGTTTACTAATGGACATGCCTTAGCGGTCAGAATTGTGGTACAAAAAAAGAAAGAGATGGAACGAAGTTTCGGACAATATCCATTTCTCTCACGATAGTGCGTATGTGTGTCATGAAAGAGATAGCACCAGTCCGAAACCATACGCTAACTCCCTCACTTTTCGAGCCAAGAAATTATTACAACGACATACGGCTAAGGCATGTCAATTAATATATGTCTATGCTGCAAACAGCAGAGAGGCTCTCAAACAAAACGAACTATGTCGGAGATGCTTCTAATCACAAAAAAAATTCAGATAGAGGTAGTCATAGGGGATAATAGAATCCTATTGGAATTCTGTTATCTCTATGGTTTCATAGTACTTGCAAACTATGCTAGCTTTATAGTACGAATTACGAATTCTGTCTTAATATGTTGGTAGCGACCAATCTGATACTTTTTTATATTTATTGATTTCTTTTTTGACGGAAATGCTTAAGATCTTATAGTTACGGTAGGAATAGACAACGCTCACGAAGGCTCAACAGACAAATAAGATGGAACATACATATGTATGCCACTTCACTGTAGTGGAAACGATATGTATCTTACAATTTTCGAGCGCAGTTTATATTGTATTTGACAAACAAATACGAATTTAAAACCACTACTTTTACAACTGTTTTATTCGAATTTATCAAAATATGCTTCTATCACAATATACATATATACATATTAATATAGAAAAAAATAAATAAAACAGTAATATAATTCAAAATTCTACACAAAAACATTTACAAAAACCATTAACGCATAAGTATGTAACTAAGGATGATCATCGTGTTTTAGGGGTTTTAAATTTGATTTTGTAGTAATAAAAAAATATTTGTTAGTTAAACTATTATGGATTCAAAAACACTTCTGGTATGTATATTATCTATTTATATTATATACATATAACTACAATCATTAATTTCTTGATACACAGAAAAATTAGCGTGTTAAAATAAATTAAATTTCGCGCTAAGCAACAGATGCTCTCTTGAAACCTTTTATGACTCATATCCGTCTGCGCAAAAACATCTGCTCGCTCTCATTATTATTAGTATCCGTATGGTATCCGTCGTGCAGTTTCGTCACTGGCGTTTGTCATTACTCGGTGTTATTCTTTAGTATTCGTTTTACGACTAGATGGTTGTTAGGTGGTCAGTGCTGTGTTGTAGTGATTTGGTGAACAATATTTTCGTGATTTTGTTTGAGTATTTTCAAGGATTTACGCTGTAAGTTTTTAGCAAAATAATTATAAATTTCGTTTAGTATTAATGCAAGCGTGGCATATGTTTAGGTATACATACATACATACATAATGATGGCTCTCTTGCCACAACACTATAAAAAACAGTTGGCCTTGTTTTAATATTTTACATTAGTTGGTTAGTTATTTTTTTTTGTGTAATTAAGAAAATTATTAGTCATGTGTCGGCTTACATTACTACTTTCGATTTAAAACAAAAACTTAATAGGTTGCTTATACTTTTACAACTATTACCTACCTATTCTTTGTTTGTGCCACATATATTTACTGTTTAGATGATTGCTAGTTTCGCAAAGTCGCAGTGAAATAGGCAGTAATTAAGTAAGAACGAAAATTCATAATTCTGTTATTATAATATGATTCACTGTGATTTATTCAAAGTTAATTTAAAGAAATAAGTGCTTAGGCATGTGCGTACGTATACGGCATTTATTTTTATATACGTTGCACATATAGATGACATAAAAAGAAAGTAGCAATATGAACTCAAGTAGCATTGGTGTGGCGTTTTATATTTCAAAAGGATAAAATGATTGAAAGGAAGATATTATCGTTTATTACTTATTGTAAAGAGTAAAGTGGATATTTTTATGTTAAGTAAAACCCATGGTAAAATGTGAAATCACGATGAGCCATACTTACTAAAAAATGATTACGCATATTTTTAAAGCCTCAGGTACCTACGTAAAATAAACAGAAACTTTCGAGGCGCTATGTATAGCCTTATAAATAAGGTGGTAAAGGTCATACTGGAAGGAATCATTTTAAAATACGTAAAACAATATTTTACCTTTTTATAGTAGTTTTAAGCTAAGTGCCTACTTACCTACTGTTTTTAAGCCTAAATACGCATACAGTAAGGCTTAGTGGTTTGTTTTAAGTTTTCCTTTTTATCCTTTATTATAAGCACTTATTAAGATTTTGGGAGAGCCAATTCTTCATGAGTAATTTGCCCCTTCAGGACGGACAAAAAAACCCATTTTTGGATTTAATTGTAGGTATACCTAATAATTAAAAAGAAAAAAATTAAAATCAGGACAAGCTAAATTAGCCATAAAAACTAAAAACGTGCGTAGTTCCTATTTCTAGTTTCGAAGGTTATGTACTTATCCCTTGAAAGTGTGGTTATGGTTAAATTTGTCGTATAAAATTAAATCAGAAAAATGGTTTTGCGCTTAGAAGGGGCAAATTAAAAAGTATTAGGTACTTTTATGCTTAAAAAAACATGTTTTTTCGTTTTAATATCGTTTTATTAAAATGTTTGAACAATTAAGAATTTACTAAAACCAAAACATTCCGCTGGGATAATTTTTTATTAGAAAAGAGCATTTGAAAGGAATTTAACTTACCACGCCTTCATTAAAAAGTCCATTAAAAAAAAAAATTTTGGCGACGTTAATTTCATCTTATACATAAGTTGTTGGTTGTTGACAAATTAAAATCGTCGTTTGATACTACTCATTGTCAGTGAAAACGAAAATGATTATTGTAATTTGTTTTGCGATTATTGGGTTATATGTACGTGTATTAATTCAACTTTGATTTAACTTTGAATAAAGAAAAACTTGTTTTTGTATGATAGAATATTTGTCAATATTTATTGTTTTAAAATATCTATTCGAATTATCATTATATACCGAAAATTATCTAAAGGATTTTCATTGTTTTATTTTGGCTGTTTATTATTTTTCTATAATCTAGTTAATGATTTGTTGTTAGGTAGGCATATAAAAATGAGAAAAAATAGCATTAGTTGCGTCAATGGACGGATTTTTTCTATGAAATATGAAAATAAAATAAATTTTTAAATGTTTGGAGATAAGAATTTACTTATTTATGAAGTACAATTATTTCTGCAGAATCGCCTATGTGTTTTTCAAGATAGTAATAGAATGTAAATAAAATTATGAAAGTTCTTTTTTAATAGTTTGTGTGCCAGGTAGCTAAAGGGTAATAAAATGCAAAGAGAAAATATGTTATTAAAATTTTGGCTTTAATATTGCCTGTAGAACTGTAAAATTCCTATGTAGCTAATAGGTGATAGCTGTTGTAAAATGTATTGCCCATATATATGGGTAGTATATATATATATATATTNGTACTTTAATAGAATTTTAATAAAATAAAGCGCCTCGGAGTTCTAGATGGGAAAAGCAGTTCCACGTATGTGAAGTAGTCACTCGGGGATAGTTCTGAGCAGAACTGCGGTAATTTGCTATTTATACGAGACAGGTACATATGTGATTCGTACGTTTAAATCGTTCGTTGTGAAGAAAATAGTCAAATCTATTGCAAATCTTTGGTTTTCTTTCTTTTGGTACTCTGCATATAATTACAAAAAATAGCGCAAAATGTTATATATATGAAGAGCACACGGGAAAAACGATCTAAGTCACTTTTGGTAAGTTTTAAGATAAATCAATTTTAAAGTTTGAAAGTGTCCCGGTAATACATACTAAAAAAAACAAAATATATATTTGTCTTTATATCATGATTTATTAACGTTCTGGCAAAAACTAAAGCAAGTACTATCAAAAAGAATTTTTTCAAAAATAAACCTCACAAAATAATGTTACACTACACAAAAACATATGGAAAAGAGATCTAAGTCCAAAAAAAAAAATAAAATTTGAGCTTCCTTTTAGGGAATAACCATTGTTACCTCGATAGTTTGTTTTTTGCCTAATGGTTCAAACTATTAAAATGACTGTTTATTGTTAATATGTAAGTGATCAAGAGGTTTCCTTTTCTGAAAAGTGTTGTTTCTTTATAGTTCTTGCTAAGAAGAAAAACATAGTTTTGTTAGTTTTGTATTTGCATTCCGTGGTCTACGTCTTCTAATTGCTAGCATAGAAATTAACCCAGCTATACGTCTGTTCTGTGAATTTCTGTTTTCTAATAAGTTGAATTTTCTTACATTATTTTTTTCGACATCGCTCAAATTTTGAAAACAACGGTTTTTACAGTTACACGGATTCCTTGTCTCAAACGTATGGTTTCGGGCATGTTTGTCAACATCTCTTACACGACCACAAGATTTTCTCTTTCGTGATTTATTAAGGAAGTGTAACAGTGGCATAGAGTCGCCATCACTGCTAGACATGTTAATAATATTCTTACTTCCAACCTTAACAACGACCAAATATGCACTGCAAGCTTGAACACGATTAGAATTGGACTAAAAATTGACAAAGAATTAAAAGAAATAGATCGACTCGGATTGGCAGTCGGACTTGGATCAGTTATTCATAAATTGGGAGGACTTAGATCGCTATTTCATTGTACGCCTATTTTCCCACGCCATTATAAGGGACTTGGATCGGTTTTTCAATGGTTTACTGTAGACGAAATGAAATTCCCATGTTTAATTACCATTTGGCGTAATAATCCTGATTTTCGATATTTTTGACTTAGATCGTTTTTCCCGTGTACTCTTCATATACTTGTCAAGTTTGATTTAGGTTTTTCTTTTTTATATTCAGTAAATATTCAAAATAAAATATGCTTTCATATGTACCTATTTATTTTATACAAGTAAAGCAAAATGTTGACCGAACATAGATATTGTACATTCCTTTGTCTGCATTCTTCCTTTTTAAGTCGCACAAGCGAAAATGCATAATATGGTGAACGTGTGGAATGAATATATTTTTTCAACTACCTACGTCTATATGAAACTTAGAGATGCTACTAGTGATTTGCCGGATAAAAAATCCCCCTTCTGAAAGAGGTTGGTGATTGTTATTAGTCCACATCTAGGCAATTTATTTCGAACTGCTTCGACAATTACCCCATGAAATTTTGTTAACTTAATGTCAAATGTAAATTAAAAGTATTTATTGCCGAAGAAGAATAAAAATAGCATCTAACAATATTAATAGTGTTTATTATAACACAGGTCAGCGATAAAAAAGTTTTTTTGTATAAATTTATCTTAAACATGCAAATGTTGGTCTATATTAACGTATCACGTCACATTTTTTTTGTATAAAGATTAATACATGTATATAAATATAGCTCTTTGAATCGGCAAATTTATTTGTTTTTTTTTTTTTTTATA